CTTTAATCTCTTTTGGCAACCATTCAGCTGTCCAAAATGACTAGGTCCACAAAGACACAACTCCTCTTCTTTTCAGGATGCAGCTCCTCCTCAGAGCTACAGTTTCCAACCTTCTCAACTCCCATCTCACAGACGGTGTCTGGTAATTGCTAGCAGCAATTACCAGACACCTTGTGAAACTGTGCTTCGGCTGAGCTTGTTATACGAGATACTTTTCAGTTCCACGCCGATAAAAATGTTGCTAAAGGGATAACAGAGGACTAATATTGTGAAGGTGGAGTTTCAGAAAGAACATACATTTTTATGAGACAGCCCCAATTAAGGGATTAAATTACAAAGTTACATTTCTTTTAAGTCATATTTGATATATACAGGATTTGTACAACAACTTGGGTACTTGATTGTGCTATAATATATCAATATATTCCTGAAAAATCCATAATACTGCCCCTTTCAAATCTTGTACCATCAAAGTGTTGAGACATTCATGCTCTGTGGTATCTTTGAAAAGTAAACTACACTTAAGATATTAACTTAATAATTTTGTAAAATTAAAAGCTAGGACGAGAGTTTTGGTTCAATGGTGGCATAGAGTGAGTTGAGAGGTGGCTCTTTTTTGACTATTTTTTTAAGAATGAGGACCATTCTTCTCAATGGCGAGTTAAGGTGTCTGCTTGGTGTGGAAAGTATTTTTTTATTTTTTGAGCAAACTGTTGCACTGATGTACATTGTTGTTCAGGAAGAACAAAATGTGTTTTTTATACTTCATATGTGGTGGTCAAACTACTGTATTGGGTTTAAAATTGCTGAGTCCTATTTCACTATCTGTTTTACATTAGAAACTGTTTTACAGTTTGATTGCCAGTCAACTTATTTCAATGTAGTTTTGACCAATAATAAAATGTATTTTGACCAATAAAATATATCAGAATCTGGTAGCAAGTTAGCTAAAAAAAGTTAATCAACCAGAAAATGTGCATCTCTCTTTTCCTTCTGTTGTTTATGTTTGTGACATTAACTCCCCAAGGGAAAAGAGGAAAGCAACAATAAATGTTTTCACCAAAAAAAGAGAAATATAGAAACACACAGTGAATTGGATACATAACTTTAATTATTTGATTGTAAATAGTAATCTGATATATTTCTCATTTTTGGAACAAGGTGTCATATTAGCGTAACTTAGTAACACTAAGCAACCTTTTGATTACCTCATTGTTTGTAACATTTCTGCTGAAGCTATTTACGGATCTGTTAGGTTTATGATATTTGCCTCCCCAGTGATAATTTGTTTCTACGTCCTTGGATGAGCCATTCAGCAAAGTCCTCCTATCAGCAAATGACAACTTTCTTATGTATAATTACCGTAATAATTATACATAATTATCTGATTATTATGGTAAAAACTGAAAGCCTATCTTTGTGTCCAGATTATTTCTTTTTCAGCTAACCTTAATAAAAATCACAAAGGTAAGATATTTGAAATTCACAATGTTGACAGGCAAAATGCCAATATTCCGTCACAGGCTTTAGTGAAGCAACAACAGGATTGCAGACTGAACTTGCTCTCCTAACATTATCTGATTCAAAACATCTCTTGATTCTATCTCAGGCTGCTTATTATAAGCATGGTGAAAAGCCAAGTAGGCTTCTGGTACACCCACTGAAACGATATCCCAAGTCAAAGATCAGTCAGCCAATCTTGTTTCCAATTCTGTCTATTGAAAACAATAGACAGAGGGTAGCCTCCCTCTGCCGACGGGTGGGGAAACGGTTTCTTACTGTCGTTTGTGCTTACAGGCTGAACAACAATTCAGATTACCCACCCCTTTTTGGAGTCCTTAGAGGGGTTACTGGAGAGAGCCCCTCCTGGGGACTCCCACGTTCTGCTGGGGGACTTCAACGCTCAAGTGGGCAATGACAGTGAGACCTGGAGGGGTGTGGTTGGGAGGAACGCTCCCCCAATCTGAACTTTAGTGGTGTTCTGTTGTTGGACTTCTCTGCTCGTCACGGATTGTCCATAACGGACACCATGTTCAGGCATAAGGGTGTCCATATGTGCACTTGGCACCAGGACACCCTAGGTCGCAGTTCGATGATCGATTTTTGTCATCGTTTCATCGGATCTGCGGCTGTATGTCTTGGACACTCGGGTGAAGACCACTAACCAGGACACCACCACTACTGGAGCCAACCACTGAGTTGGCTCCAGTGGTGGGGGAGGATGCCGGTCTGACCTGGTAGGGCCAAACATGTTATGAGGGTCTTCTGGGAACGTCTGGCGGAGTCCTCTGTGAGACGGAACTTTCACTCCCATCTCCGGAAGAACTTTGAACACGTTCCGGGGGAGGTGGCAGACATTGAGTCTGAGTGGACCATGTTTCATGCCTCCATTTTCGAGGCGGCTTATCAGAGCTGTGGCCGCAAGATTGTCGGTGCCTGTCGCGGCGGCAACCCTCGAACCCATTGGTGGACACTTTCGGTGAGGGATGCTGTCAGGCTGAAGGAGTCTGATAGGGCCTTTTTGTGGCCTGGAAGCAGCTCATCGGTACCGAAGGGCAAAGCAGCATGCAGCTTGGGTGGTTGCTGAGGCAACACCTGGGTGTGGGAGGAGGTCAGAGAGGCCATGAAGGAAGACTTCCGCACGGCTTCGAGGCAATTCTGGTCAACCATAAGGCGCCTCACAAGGGGGAAGCAGTGCAGCACCAACACTGTTTATAGTGGAGATGGTGTGCTGCTGACCTTGACTCAGGACGTTGTGGGCTGGTGGGCAGAACACGTCGAAGACCTCCTAAATTCCACCAACATGCCTTCCTTTGAGGAATCTGAGCTTGAGGACTCTGGGTTGGGCTCTACAATCTCTGGTGATGTGGTCGCCGAGGCCGTTAAAAAGGTCCTCCGTGGCAGGGCCCTGGGGGTGCATGAGATTTGCCTGGAGTTCCTTAAAGCTCTGGATGTTGTAATGTTGTGTTGGTTGATCCGACTCTGCAATACCTAATGGACATCAGGGGCAGGATTGGCGCAGCGTCTGCCATGAAATGGGCGCTGTACCGGTCGGTCGTGGTGAAGAAAGAGCTGAGCCAAAAAGCTTAGCTTTCGATTTATTGGTTGATCTACGTTCCTACCCTCATCTATGGTCATGAGCTTTGGGTCATGACCGAAAGAATGAGATCATGGGTACATGCGGCCAAAATGGGTTTCCTCCGTAGGGTGGCTGGGCTCTCCCTTAGAGATAGGGAGAGAAGCTCGGTCATCCGGGAGGCACTCTGAGTAGAGCTGCCAGTTGACGTGGCTCAGGTATCTGGTAGGGATGCCTCCTGGACGCCTCCCCTGTGAAGTGTTTCGGGCATGTCCCACCCGGAGGAGTCCCCAGGGAAGACCCAGGACACGCTGGAGGGACTATGTCTCCCGGCTGGCCTGAGAACGTCTTGGGCTTCCCCTCAGGCCTCCTCCCTGCTGGAGAAGTGGCTGGGAAAAGAAAGTCTGGGCCTCCCTTCTTAAGCTGCTACCCCCACAATCCAACCCCGGATAAGCGGCAGACAATGAATTGATGGATGGATAGATGGATGGAAGCCCCTTCTTCTTCTGGTGAAGAAGAGGACATGCTGGAGGGACTGTGCCCCCCACCCTAGCCTGGCTTCAATTTCACTCCTATTTAAGAACGGTAAAGATCCTACTTCTTGTGAGGCTTTAAGCAATGGTCATCAGAGCCATATATTTGAATAAAAACACTGAAAAGAGGTTGAAAATATTTTCACTTTTTTACTAACAAAATGTGATCAATTTGAAGATCATATCACCCATCTTTACCCTGACTTTTCCATATTGTTTGTGGTGCTATGGACCCAGGTCTAGACCAAAGCATCTGGTTAGAATTAAGCCAACAATGTGTCCACATTCTGAGCACAAAGTCCAACTTATAACTGTATGAATCTCCACCACCACGCACATGCACACACACACATTTGTAATGCTACTCTTGTTAGGCATTTATCCCTAACACTTACCCTAAGTGTGATGTGAAGTTTCCTTCACATCACACTTCTAAACCTTAACCTCTAACCCTACAAAAGGGGATTCACCACACTGGGCTTGGCCTCATAAGCCCATTGATCTGCAGAAGATTATGAAATAAACCAAAGAAGGTGCACATCCAGTTTTGCGACTGATGGGGTTAAGATGTGCAAGAGGAAGCTCCTGCCAATAATTTTTTCTACAAGAAACATTTGAGCTTTTTTATTTTTTATTTTTATCTGTCTTTGCAATCTTACAATGACTCTTATTATGCCTTCAAAACACCTAAATAACAAGTGATTCAATAAGGCATATTCTCTTGCATCCCCACCTCAGGTTTTCATGACCAACCCTATGCAGGGTTTGATTACTAAGTGGCATACATACATATATATATATATATATATATATATATATATATATATATAATATATATATATATATCTCTCTGTGTGTGTGTGTGTATACATGTGTATACACATGTATATATGTGTGTGTGTTTCTTACCTTGATCAGCTGATACTGATTTTGTCTGAAAAGTTATGAAATATGGCAAGAAAATTGCTAAGTGGGCAATAGGATGACTATCTGAAACCATGCACATGCAGACATGACCTGGTGGGCAAGTCTGTCATTTGCTCTGCGGTGAGACCAAATGACAGTGGGCAATTTTCAGACTTTGAGGAGGTTGATAAGATTGATCAATGAGATTGGTCCTGTGTTCTGTCAGTCCTGATTCAGGGAATCTGGGCCGATTTATCAGTGCACTTTTAATTCTAATTAATGTCTTCCATGAAATTCTCGGTGTGTATGTGAGCTTACTGTAGATATGTGAGCTTACTGAAACAGTAGCAGGCCAACCTTCTCTAAAAGCTAACAGAGCTCTGTACATCCTTTCCAAGATACATACCAATCGCAGTTGGTATGTATGCAAATGCGACTTGCTTACTCAGTCACTCAGTTGTCTTACTAAATGTGTCTCTATACAGAGGATGCAGGGACTTACTTCCCCAGTATAAAGAGGGATCCAGCACGTTACTTGCAGCCCTGCTCAGACTCTGTGAAGACCTGGCTGCGCAGCATGAAGACCGCTGGGAAGATCCTCATCCTCATTACCAGCTCCCACAGTGACTACTGCAAGCTAATCTGTGAATTCATCCTAGGGTAAGAGACTGAACTGGTCTTTCACTCTGGAGTGATACCAACCCTGATGGTCTCTGATGTGTAAACTCTCTCACATCTCATCAGGTTTTATTTTTCTTTGAGTTGGCTCACTTGTTCTGTTCATTTGAGTGGAAGCAGTTGAGTATCTACATCCTCCTTTTATTTGACAGGAGGGTGTAGATATAGCCCTGTAGGGGTTACATCTACAGGGTGTAACCACTACAGTTTCTGCAGCTCACAGGAGCTCCAGAAATTCACAGGAGCTCTGTAAGTTTCTGGTGTGTCAGAAGAAATATAGCAACACACTAATATTCTGTCAGACTCAAGAAAATAAAAGGGACGAGTCAGGGTTAAAATCAACCACTTTTCCAATGATGGATTCTGGCTGCTCATAAAGAACAATGAAATAGTCTTGATATATTTTTTGTCATATACAAATATATTTCAATGCAAATACTGTGCAAATAACTTGTGTTTCAAAACTGGATAAGCTTCTGTTTTATCCAGGTTTAACAACTGGATATCAAGTGGAAATTGGTATCCAGTTTTACCAAGTGGAGGCAAAATTGAATACTCCCTCTACAAACAAACACACATACACATTTGTATTTACTCTTGTTTAGCATTTATCCCCAACACTTATCCCAACCTTAAGTACAACTTGCTTCACGTCTTACTTCTATAAATAATCCCAGACCCTACAAAAAGAGGGTCCACCACATTAGGTCTGGGCTTTCCCCATAAGCCCATTGGTCTTCAGAGGATTTTTAATTAAATGTGGTGGACCCCTTTTTTGAGTGTTGGAGTTATGTTTAAAGGAAAAATGTGAATTAGGTTTGGACTAGGAATAAACTGGAAATGGTTAGGGAAAAATGTGATTGAAGTCTCTATTCGAAAACTATGATTTTTAGTCAGCTGTATCAAATTGAGTTCAGAGTTTTCAGTTAAATCCCCAGAAGAGTTCCTAGTTCCCACAGCTGACAGAATTCAAACAATCCAGTATTTTTGAAATATCTCCAACAATATTTAACACTTCATCCCACCTTTTATTTGCCAATTGGTTATCAGAATTAAAACCAGTAAGAACCACCTTTCTGACGCACTTAATGACTGATCTAGAAATTGTTTTTAAACCATTACAAATTGGGCCTAATTTTTTATAGACAGGGTCTTTTTCCAGCTTTACCTTGCAATTCAATTTTGCCTTTTTTATTTTATTCTTAATTTCCCTTTTAAGCAAATTCACTTCTTTGAGTTGTCCTTCACAAAATGCCATACTTTTTTTGTTCAACAGAGGCTTAAAAATTTTGACATCCAGGGTTTGCTGTTTGTAAATATTTTCACTTTTTTTTTATTTACACAGTCTTCACAGAAAGTCACATAGTTGCTTATAACATCAGTCAGCTCCAGTGTCAGAGATCCAATGTCTGTGGTGAAGTGTCACTGTGACCACTGCACAGAACCTTGAATCTTTGTGATGTTGGATAACAAAAAAGACCATGGATATCCATCCACCCATACTCAACCTAGCAGGGTCGCCAGGTGTGCTGATGCCTATTTCCAGCCGTCATTGGACACCTTGAACAGGTCCTTAGTCCATTCCATTTTTCTATGGAACACAACTCCCAATCATTTCCAAAAAATTTTCTTTTATGCAGATGTTTTTTGCACATATGTAAAACATTTATAAGCTAATTCACTGTGTGAAACAAGATCAGTAGGAAATTTATTAAGATTTGTTTCAACTACAAAGTAATTATATTTCTATTTTTTTAATTTTTAAAAGAAAAATACATCAAATTTGCGCAAGAGGAAATAAAAATATTTTCTTCAAAGAAACTTTGATTTTATAGAAATAGTTTTAATGCAAAATGACAAAAATATTTTTTTTATGATATTTATTGCACTAATAGTGTAAACAGTCTTCCAAAAGTACCACTTATTAAAAAATAACCACCTCCAGTCTACAGAGGCCTGTAACACCGCTGTTAGATTCATATGTTAGTGTCATGATTCATGTTCTGTACTGTCCATGCTGGGTTTAATTACTCATTCAGCTCACCTTCCACACCTGCTGATTGCTGGACAATAAAAACTCCCCTTCCTTAGACAACAAACCCCCAAAAGAATAAAGAATTTAATCAATAAATATTCTAAACTAATGCAACACTGAAACCAAAACAAACTAATACTGAAACAGTAGCAGGCCAACCTTCTCTAAAAGCTAACAGAGCTCTGTACATCCTTTCCAAGAGCAAGTTTCCTGTAGATGAATCAGCCTGGACCCCTCTTCTTCTTATTGAGTTTATTTATTACTGGTATGGAGTGTGGTTCATATTGGTCTAACGCTCTCTCTCTCTCTCTCTCTCTCTCTCTCTCTCTCTTTCTCTCTCTCTCTCTCTCTCTCTCTCTTTCTCTCTCTCTCTCTCTCTCTCTCTATCTCTTTTCTCTCTCTCTGTATATATATATAGATATATATATATATATAGATATATATATATATATATATATATATATATATATATATATATATATATATATATATATATATATATATATATATTTATATATATCTATCTATATATATGTATATATCTGTATATACATACATACCCATACATATTTATATTCTACTCATCTATATCATACACACATTGACCAACATACTTACTATAATCAAATTCAACTAAATAACTTAGTTTTCTTTAAAAATCGAATAATCTTCTAAATTAATTTTTTCCTTAATACTTTCCAACTCTTTCTTCATATAACTTCTCTCTCTTTCATATTTATTACATTCTAAAATAACATGTTCTATTGTTTCATATTTTCCACAATCCTCACATTTACCCGTATCATGCTTTTGTATTCTAAAAAGCATATAGTTAAGTCCTGTATGCCCAAATCTTATCCTTGTTATCACTCGTTCCTCTTTTCTATTTCTCCTTCCCTTTCTTCTTTCTCCTACCATCTTCTGAATTTTATAAAACCATCTTCCTGTTATTTCTTCATCCCACCTTTTTTGCCATTTTCCATCAGTTTTTCCTTAATCATACTCTTTCCTTCAGCTTTACTTGTTTTAACTATGATGCTAATTGGATTTTGAATTGCCCCCTTTGCTATTTTATCTGCCCTCTTGTTTCCTTTTACTCCAATATGTGCTGGAATCCATACAAAATTAACTATCAAACCCATGTTTTGTAGACTCTGCTTGGACATGCATCGGACAAGCATATTACAGAAAACTGTGGCCTTCTCTCCAATTTATTACCTGGGGACGTTGTGTTAGCAGACAGAGACTTTGATAATAAAGACGGTGAAGGGATGATGTGTGCTGAGGTTAAAATGCCGTCATTCACTAAAGGGAGATGTCAACTGAATGCTAAAGATGTTTAAGACATGTGAGCTTTAGCTGACCTCAGAATTCATGTGGAAAGAGTGATCAGTTGTATGGGGAGTAAATACAAAATGTTACACAGAAGTATATCAATTAAGTTGCTTCTTAAATTTGAGAGTGAACAGGTGATACGTCTTGACAAGATTGTGTGTGTGTGTGTGTGCTGCAGCTTAGTGAACATGTGTTCAGTGTGGTTGTGAAACCCAAGGCAAATGAAACCTGTACATGTTAATATGCAACTGCAAAGCTGCACTGATGATTAAAATGCAAAATGAAAACAGAGATTTTCTGCACTCATTCTTTTGAAATATTTGTAGTCAGTACTGGGGCAGACAATGCCAGAGTCTGAGTAATTTAATCAAATTTTCTCAGCACTTATTTATATGTGACGAGAGGATACACATTGTATGTGTATCTGTGACAGCTGTCCCTGCTGTCACAGAATAAAAGTAATTATTTTCTGTTCTTCTTTAATATTACTTTATATATTTGTTTGAATAGTTTAGATTTTTATTTTTAAATTTGTCTTCATTAATTTGACCAATTTAGTTAACTATGTGTAGTGCACCCATTTAGTTAACTTTATTTGTCAGTTCTTTATAATTTTTGTTAAATGCACTAAATTTCTTTTGTTTGAGTTTACCAGTTTCCCCTGGAGCTACAGATGATTTCCAGCTGATGCCCACTGGTGGTCAACTTCCCAGTGGGCCATTCCATCTGCTCACTAGGGGAGGGGGAAATTTGGTTTTTTAGTTTAGTTTCATTATTTCTTTAATGTTTGTTGTTCTTTTGAAAGTTAGTTCAGTTCTAATATTTATTTAATTTAAAGATTTAGTAATGCTTCTTTGTATTTGTTTGTGTTTTTTGTGTGTGTTTAATTATCCCTTTTGTGTTTAGTAGTGGTTTGATCACCCACTATTTAAGTTCTCTTCGTGTCTTGTTAGTTAGTTCAGTTTTTTGTTTGAGTTCTTTGTGTTGCTACCTGAGTTGTAGTTTGTTATTTTGACTTCAGTTTTGGGCCCGGTTTATCATTTTGAAATTATTTGTGGATTTTTTGTAATAAATTAAAATTTCTTTTGAACTTTACTCAATACTCTCTGGCTGGTTTGTGGGAAAACCTCACAGTATCCTTGTAAGGACATACATGCAAGGATACACTTGTGTGTGTATCCTTATTTATTTATATTCAGTCATATTGAATTACTTACACTCTTTGGTATATATTATATAAGCTCTCTTATGGTTCAATTTGTATAATATTTAATACCTTGGATGGAGTTATGTTTGCTTATTATCTTGTCTGCTAATAAGCAAAATTCCCTTGGGGATCAAGTATATTCTATATAGGCAACCTCAGCTCCTAATCCTTCAAAGGTTTAAATCTAGCTTTTTGTGGGTACCTCCTTACCCACAAAAAGCTTTAGAAAATGCCCCCATTCAGGGGCCTTGTGTGGAAATTATTATTATTATTTTTTTATGTTTCACAGTAAGAAATCTGCTCTACTTCAATACTTTGTTTCAACAGCCATTGACAACACTGTCTAGTTCTGCATGCTTTTCTTTAGGAACAAAGGCAAGTGAGACTGTTTGGTTTTTTGCTGCTCCCGTAATCAGTGTATTTAAGCAAAACTGTTTTTTGTCTTTATGTCACAGGAAGGACTTTGAGCAGCTGTTTGATGTCATCATCACAAACGCCCTGAAGCCTGGGTTCTTTTCCTTGATACCCCATCAGAGGCCTTTCAGGACCCTTAGTGAGTAGCAATGAATTTTTCCATTTACCTACACTCCAGTAACATTAAGGGCACATTCTTAACCCATGTCAGAACAAAAAATTGTGAGTTGTCACTTTTTTTAACATAGAGAACATTTTATTTTTGGAAATGGGACCATTGTAGGTCAGATATGAAGGATAATGCTATTTTCTATAATATTAGCAATTTTCTATTTTTATTTTCTTTTGAAATCTGTGATATCTTCAACTTTAGGAAGAAGTTCCACTCTCGTCATGTGTTTTGATGTCTCTCCATAATTTAATTCAGCACAGCTCACAGTTCTTAACAATGGGCTCTACTTACGTTGCTGACGTCATATCCGCATGAGAAAATCTGGCTTTCCTGCTTTTGCTTTGAATTACGATGACAGCTAGAAAAGACAAAGTCGTATTTCAGACACAAATCAATACTATGAACACTGGTATCCTCCAAATATAATGGGCTTTTAGGTTTTATGGATTTCCAAGCGGTCCTGAATTAAGATGACGGTGGCTTGTAAAATATCCGTTGCTACCATTTAAAGCTGACCCCACACAGCAAAGTTTGCAGCCTTCACTTCACTCTGATCATGTTCTTCAGCCAAAAACTACCATGGGAGAGGGGGATGAATGGTAAATAAAGGAGCCGTTCTGTGTTATTTCCATGGAATCACTTCTCTATTCAGCCTGAAAGAGCAAGTGTATGGGAAAGAGTGAGCAGACGAGAGTCAGACAGCCGAGTAACTGATCCGCCTGTACTGCTGTTAACACCGTCCTGTTTGAGCTCTTCACAAGGAGCATGCAAAACTAATAAAACAAAAAAACACGGTGATCTTAAGGAACATGGCCATATTTTTCTAAAAGCAATAAATTTAAATCTGAACAGTCAGCTGAACAAGAACTTTGACATCAGTGCTGCCCTACTGCTGAGCTATGGGGCTTGTTGTGTTTCCTCATGCTTCAGAAGTAAAAAGCCTGAATCATAACCTTCCCTGTTATTTGGTTTCTGACACTAATGACAATAAACACACATAATATACTTGAAAATAAATACAAAATTATGTTAAAACATTGTCCATTAGAATGGATTAAAATGTTTTATGTACTTAAATAGCATGTTTTTACAAGAAAAATGTCAGAGAATATTGCCTACTAGCATAAGCTAAAGTTAAAGTTTAAAGAAACTAAAACTCACCTTCATATCTGTGAATGTATAACAAGGTACACATCTTAAAATCTTTCTCCAGCTTACCTATTGGGGCTTCAGATTGACATCATTGTTACCTTGGTCAAGCCCTGTCATTTTTAATAGACTGGAAATGACCAAGCTGCTTTTCCACAAAAGTGAAAGCTGACGTGCAAAGATCCCATTTCTGTAGCTTTCTGTGTACCCTTTAATATGTTCCTTAGTTGCATCTTTTGGGGTCTACTACTGCCTCTAGTGGTATGGTTGTGGTAACACAACTGACTAACATTTATACATTATTGTGCTGGCATACCAGAAAATCTGTATTATTATTATTTTCAGCATTACTGGCATTGTAACAGAAAAATTCTCCAGTGAAAGGGTCACTCTCTGACTTTTGTTTCTCACAGTGGCGCAGTTGGTAGCACTGTTACCCTGCAGCAAGAAGGTCCTGGGTTTGATTCCCGGCCAGGTGTCTTTCTGCACTGAGTTTGCATGTTCTCCCGGTGCATGCATGCGTTCTCTCTGGGTACTCCGGCTTCCTCCCACAGTCCAAAAACATGACTGTTAAGCTTATTGGTCTTTCCAAATTCTCCCAAGGTGTGACTCCCATGTGTGTACTTGGTTGTTTGTCCTGTTTGTTTCTGTGTTGCCCTGCGACAGACTAGCGACCTGTCCAGGGTGTACCTCCCTTCTCACCCGGAATGCAGCTGCAGATATGTACCAGCAACTCCCGGCCCCACTTGGGACAAGGCTGAACAGATAATGGATGGATGGAGGTTTATCTTAAAGATTTTTCATATTATGCTAACATTTTTTGAGAAAAATCAAGAAATGTAAATATCCATGTGTCTTAGTAATGTAAAATGCAAATCTGTTTTAAAAAATTTTATGGGTTGTTGAAGTGCAGAGATCAGCCAAATGAGCATGTCCCCACTGACCAGTGTTAATTTTTCAATGAATATAAGACAAATAAAATAGGCAGTAACTGGAAGTTACTTCTACCATCATAAAGTATTTTTGGAATACTTTATCCTAAATAAAAGAAATATGAGAAAAATACATAAATTATTTATAAAATAGCACTTTTAAATTATGTCCTTCCAGTTTTGTTCAACCCCGAAACAGCATACTAATCTCTCCTTTTTTTATAAATAATGGTTCAGTCCAATTTCCTCAGCACCCTGGAAGTGACATTGCATCTCCACATTAGCTACTGTTAATGGGGACATGGAGCAGGACTGTTCAAAGATTGCTGTCAGGTAAACTGCTTGAACTGGCTGTGCTATCCCAATAACAGTCCTTCCAAGAGTATTATGTCATGGTCTGTTGGGTTTTGCACATCCACAATCATGAATGATTTTGTACCTTGACGGCGTTGATTTACATATCTCTGATTGGGTGGGAGATGATCATGTTATCCTTGGGGTGGTGGTAAATAATTGTGATGTGTTGAATGGGTTTGCAAGTAGCTGTATTGCACTGCAGTAGATTGATCGTAATCATGATGTACTGCAGGCTTGTGTGTCTGTGATGAGTTGTGGTAAGCTGGTGCTGATTGAGCTGGTGTGCAAACTGGTCCTGATACCGGGTTTAGGTGCTGCCTCTGCAGATAAGAGGACTGGTGCATAGACTCTTTAATAGAAGACACTTCAGCTTTCAGATCTTTAAGCAGAGTCATGTTTGCTTTCATCTCCTGCAGTTTTGAGAGAATATCTGTTTGGCTCTTGCTGTGACTCGACTGGCTTTTTTTGTCCTTCTCAGTGGTGGTGTGGTCAGACTGAGCAGAGTGAACAGTCACAGATCGCTGTGGTGCATGCATTTTTTTCTTGTCCTGTCTCTCACTTTCATAGGCACATGCAATATTTAATTTTTCAAATAAAAGTTAATCAGAAACACCAGCTTGTTCTAGAGATGACTGAAGGTCACGTTTTATGTTATCGTTCAACAAACCGGTCATAACTGCATGGAGATACATGTAAACCTGACTCTGACTCTTGTGATGCAAATAGAATCTTCTGTCGTAGGTCTAGAGTGCGGATGAGAAAACTCTGAGAAGTCTCCTTAACGCTCTGTGCTTCTGATGACAGCTGTTTATATAATTCTGTTGCACTTTTTTTTTTTTTTTGATAATGGTAGCGCAGTATTCTTCTCAGAGTGGGGAGTGTAAGGTTGTTTTTTTCCCTCTTGGTAGCTCTGTAATTGCATCCCCGGGACAATGGCCCTTATGAAAGCATCAACGATCTCAGTCTCTGGAAAGCCTTTGACGAGGCCAGGCTCAATTTGTCGTGCGAGACTGGAAAATGTGAGGCGGTCCTTTTGTCCTGGGTCTCCAATTTGTCCAGATATTTTTAATTATTTGTGCCATACAGCAGGGGTCTGACGTAGGACTGAAGCTGGAATTCCAAGGCTGGACATGGCAGTCGGAACTTTATGTACTTCCTCCTCATGAGTATGTTTTATTTGGGATGGTACATGAGACTGAGAGGGTCTGGTTTCTGTTGATGTACTGCCCAGTATCTCATCATATTCATTCTGCTGTTCATGTTGTGTTACTTTAAGTTCCTTTACTTGGATAGCTGTAGCCTGAACTTGGAGCTCAGTTATCTTGTCTTTAAAGCACAGAAACTCTGACATTCCCAAATCCTCTAACTTTTGGAACTCATCACTCTGTAGATGATTACTAATCATTAAGATGAGCGATGTTCTATTCTTTCCTGTCACATGTTCAAATTTTGACCCAGCAATGGTTGAGAAAATCACACAGTTTTGTTAGGCTTTCTGCTGGCAGCGTGCACAAAAGTCCTATTATCTCCAGCTGTAATGCCTCTACCTCGGTTGACCCCATCTTCATTGTGGTAGCTGATCAGTGTTCTGTTGTAGCAGTAATTTGTCTACTAAACCTTGGTTGCAGCATTCCTGGCACCTTAGGTTAACCTCAGATTACTTTTGCCCTCGGTTGCAGAAACTCAGACTGCCATACAGTTGTCAAGTAGATGTCGTCAGCCTGGGTAAGTAAGTTAAAGGGGAACCGATTGAGAGCTGGAGACGTCTGGTCCTAGCAGAAGTCAAACTTTGCCTCACTCAATCCCAGCTGTGCCTCCAAAATGTTACGCCCCTGTAAAGGGGAATAATGAAAACATGGACACAATGTTACTATTTTTGTATCCAGTGTTATAATGGAGCAGAACCGTTACGTTCCCCTATATTCGATCAGACAAAACCAATCGAGACTTGAACGATTAACAAACTCTCAAAACTTACAATCTAAAAGGTTGAACTTTTCAAGAATTATAAACAAACATAGCCGGAAAAGGAACATTAACAAAAAATACATTTTTTTTAACATCATTAAACTTAGGCTACCTTTTACCGTATCTGTCTGTACCGCTGAACTTGAAAGACCAAAATAATCGATCGTAGATCACTAGATCTTCTTTTAGGGTTAAATAGTTTTGTAACCACTAAACTCACACTGTAAAGAGATTTAAGTGTTAGTCTGATTAGATGATTATCTTTATCCATAGATTGACATAATCAAGCTCAACATTTCAACATTGTTACAACACGTTATTTATTGTTATTTAGGAAAAAGTTTAGAATGGTCTTTGAAACGTATTAATTTCTTGTTTTCACCATATCATATTAGTTATTTATTCAATTAGTTATTTTAATCAAGAGACAGATGATCTTAAAGGAAATGGAAGATTTGGTTTAATTATGTTATGGAGTTATACTCAGAGGAATCAAATTGTCCCATTACGGGGTTGAATTGAAAACAACCTAAGTAACAAAGAAATTTGTATTAATGTTTG